ATCAATATGTAACTTTCACAAATCATGAAATTTTAAAGTTGATTAAATAAACCATTCAAATCCCTAAATTGTCTGCGCCTCCTAGGGGTTTTGTCCTCCACCCCGTCTACTAGGCTACTGTTGGGGACATTACCCCCTTCCTTGTTAGTCAAATCCTGGCACCATTACTACAGTATGTACTGAACATCCATATCATGCACATGAAAAAGGGTCTAAAGGTAGCTTAACATAGAGGATGTGGGCTTAGATTACTTAAAATCTATGGATGGGTTACACAGCAATTCCACAATAATAATAATTTTATTTATATTATTAATAGTAACAACTATAAATTATTTATATTTAAATTAACAACTTGTTTAACTTAGGATTAAATTGTTAATATAAGTAAGAATATTTTCTTTGATATTTTTTTATCTATTATTCCAAGGCCACTTTCTTGGGGAAATGTTTTGCAGTACATTTTTATTACTTTGTTATGGTCTCTATTTTTATATTCACTATAATATTCACATAAGGCGAGATTTTTTTACCCATTTTTTACCAAACCTGTCACCCACCATTAATGATGATTTCGGATAAATATAAAATTTTATTTTTGGCCATTCAGCATACCAGACACTGCCTTGAAATCTCAAAAAATAAGATATGCATGTTTTTTTCCTAATTATATAAATTTAAAGCATTTAACCATCCCATTACTACAGTTTATTTTTTTTCTCTTCTGTCTGGATGTTTTTGGCAAAACCATTTGCTACTGTAAATAAGAATTAATAAAATTCGTTTTTCATTTTTTTTCCTCTGGCGATCTTTAAAAAATGAGTTTCTGAAACAAGGTACAGACAAAAATTCTCGCCTAATGTCTCTGTAAAATTTAAAATGAAAATTTTCGATAATCTGGCAACTACTAGAGGCCTACACGCGCTACATAGTTACCAGTGTGAGTGTGGCGCTCTATTCGACACTACTGTATCTAGCTGCTTAGGCTAGGCTGGGCCGCAGGAAGTCACCCAGTGAATTGTGAGACATTGGTGGCGCTTTTTCAAAATAAACTCGATAAAATTGTCTATAGTACATATACTGAAGCTAAATTCCGTGATGTCATAATCTTAAAAATAAAAGTTCTGTTCCTGTATTAATATATAGTATTATTAGACTAGGTACTTGTTCAAACATGAGGCAAGCTTGACTTCTTTGACTTTGAAACCTGTCTATCGAGCATGAAGTTCAATCCAGACTTTATTTTAATATCATTTTAACGAGGTTGGTAAAACCAAGGAGGTATTATTATACCGTAATTGTAGAAATGAATGGTACTTTAGGGATGTAGTGTTTGACTGCTAATGTGAATATTATTTATATCTTAACACATCATATTTGTATCACTTTAGGCAAGACTTCTTTATACCTCGTTTAGCGAACCCACTGACTACAAATGATTTTGAATTTTAAAAAAATTATTTTTGGCCAATTAGCGTACACGCCACCACGAAAAAGTAGAAATTTCAGGGAAAAATTGATTTTTTTTCCCCCTTTATTTTTACTACGCCCTCCGCTGCCTTGAAATCGCCAAATATAAAATATGTATATTTCTTCCTAATTATATAACTTTAAAGCATTTAACCATCCTATTTTACATTCACCAATAACATTTTATTTTTATGTTCTCCTCTGACTGGATGATTTATTTTCTAAATAAGAAAAAAAAATTTTATTTTTATTTTTAATCCGCCCTCCTCCTATAGTCTTTAAAAACATAAGTACGCGAAACAAGGAATAAAAGAAGTCTCGCTTTATGAAAAATATTACCTTATAATTATAATAACCACGTGCTAAGCCTGGGGATGTAGTTATCTTTAATATTCCTTTTATAAAATAAATTCCAAAGTGTTGCTCGTAAAAACCATGCTCCCCATGGATGTGAACCCCTCATCAATCTTGACAGGTAAATGATCTACACTGCAATCCACATGGGAATCCATAGGCCTAAAAATAATCTCTCGTTCTTACCACATGAATCTATGGTCATAGCAGATAATGCGGCAGCCTTTATAATGCACTTAATAGAGCAACCAGCTAGCCTATGGAACCCATACCTAGTTCCATGAGGGGGTGCACCTCAATGGACCTTTCGGTGAGTCAATCAAACTTTAACAACTGATGACTTACTGTAGAACTGGGCCTAAAATGTGTTCTTGTTCCACAAACCCATGTGTTGTCCCATAAATGAAATGTGCAATACAACATGTGTTTACACTGTCATTTTTAGGGACTTTAGCAACAATATTCTAGGAGACGGGGTTAGCCGAGAAGTTTACCTTGCCTCTGGTTGTCTATACTGCCATTGGAATATACTAGTCAGGCCTGTAGCCAGGTTCTTCGAAGGGACGGTGGGAGGGGTTCTCCGGGTGTGAGGTCCAGGGTGGAAGCTGAAGGGGGGGGGGGGGGAGGGGGTTTACTAGAAAAGGGGGAATTTGGCCAAACCATAAAAAAAAAAACCACCTGCTTGGGGCCTGGTAGTGTATCTACTTATAGTAGGCCTACAGCTACTGTAGGTATGAGAGAATGTTTGGAAATTTCAAGTATAACACCAAAGAATCAAAACCCTCAATTTAAAATTGAGAAACAGAATTACAACCACTAGGCCAACCACTTATACTAAAACTTATTATTATTAATAAGTAAAATATTTTGTCGTTCCAATTTAATACCATAATCTTTATTTTCACTGTAACCTACATACAGTAGATATTAGTTCTATATAGATATTCTTTGATATTGATATTCACCATAACATAAAGGTACGTATAATCAAGACAGAAAAAAAAAACAAACAAACAAAGCAAACCACACAAATACAGAATTAAATCTGTAAAGTAATAAAACCACTTGCAACAGTTCAGTCTTACGGTAGGCCTATCAGAATTACAGTATTTGGAATTCACCCATGTTAAGTTGAGTATCATACCAGTACTTCACAAAACTATACCATTCATAGTAATCACTGGCCTCAAGTGTAAGCCCATCCATTTTTAAATGCCCTCAAAATAAATGCTCCACCCAAGTATAGTATATGCCCATCATCTAAACATGTCTATTTGAAATGGAATTTTTAAAAAGGTTAATTTACTGGATGAAAGAAATTGAATTAAAACCTCTTTCCTGTAATCTGAGTTCAAAATTCTAAAAACCACACTCTAATCCCCACCAGAATGAGTAATGTACTGTGAAATAGTAAATATATTTATATTGTGACTTGCGGAATTTCCGCAAAGCAATTCCATAGCTGTGGTATTTACATTTAAGAAATTTCCAGCCCTCATGAATAAATGGCTATTGTCAAGTCATGTAGTGTCTTTCGAATTGTATATGAAAATACTATAGAGTAGACTTTTGTTATACTGAACAATAAATATATTTCTGAATCCATATTTGTAGAGATAAATTTAGATTCAGAATCTAAACTCAATTAAATAATATTAAAGCATTATATACTCTTCCTCTGCACAGTTTGAAAGTAAATTTTATATATTATATTATCATTTTCATAACACCTTTTCTTCGCAGGTACAAAGCACTTCTTTTCCCTGATCATTGGGTCGACATGCTTTACTGTAAGTGTTGCTGCTGATAAACAGCGCAGGAGCATGCAACCCCACCAGGTACCCATTTATAATCCTGGGTGGAGGAGCAATGTAGACAAAAAGTGCCTTGCTCAAAAGCATTAGCAAAATGTACAGTAAGGGATGAATAGGATTGGATTATTCGGTAGGATAGTCCACGGAAATCTACAAGACTTTTTCCAGTGGGGTCCTTCTGGTGGTGATTGGGCAGTACACAAGGAGACAATCCGAAGAGTGAACTGCGTTCTTTAATGTGCACATGGGCCATAAATGCACACGGGACCAACGGCTTAAACATCATATCCGAACGACGGTGCACTATTGTAACTTGTATTTCAGCCCTCCTGCTGAAACACAAGGAGAGGCAGCGATGGGAATTGAACCGGGGACCTAGAGATCTCCACGGTTCAAAGCACACACAGTGGCTACCACCAGATTAGCTGACTAAGCTAAGCTGCTCTCTTAAAAACCCCAACCCTGAGGTTAAGAAACGAAACTGTTCCCCCGCGACAAACCGCTTTTTAGTCAAGAAACCTCTTTTTGAACTTATAAGTGTGTTTATCAATTTATATATTATTTAATATATTTGTTTGTATAAACTGTAGCTTGTATAAATTGATAAATAAATGAATGGGTGATAAGAAAAAGAAAAATGAATAATTTCATACCATTTCATCTTTATTCTTTGTATTGGCACCTCTTAACCAACCTGAAAATATAAAGAAATTAAGTACATAAAATATAATAACAGAGTATCACCATCAATTCACCAGCACAATGACCATCATAATCACAAAAATGTATTTACCTCTATCCCCACTATCATCACTACCACCACATTTATTACATTTACTAGCTGTGATCATCAAATACCTAAATTAGTACTATTTTCATTTATACTACAGTATTTGTACATGTAGAGGTCAATAGAAACAATTTAAAGACACTCCGAACACATCGCTAAAACAATGCAACATTGATGGGGCATCATGGGAGAAACAATCAACAGATGCACTGATTATGTTTTAAATAACACAGAACGAACATTACTCTGAATAAAGAAAGGGAGGTCATAATTCAACGTTTCGACCTTTATTGGGTCATCCTCAGGAATGAGAAAAACTTAAACACTGATTACAAAAAATGCAAGACAAAGATAAATACAAGAAACAATATGCAAATGAGGGGAGAAACAGACTGACGGACAGGATATAAACGTGTGAGCCAAACCGTATCTCTCACACTAAAGCAAAGCGCGTGCAATAACGTCCTGAATTTGGCAGACATCTCAAAGTAAACACCGGTCTCATAAGCTACAAACGCACACACATTGTTGAAATAAAAAAACATAATTTTTATATTTTTAAGCGCATTGAGACTTCGGTATACAAGTAATACAGGTATATCCCGGTCCCATTACATTCCATCAAAAAGTAGACTTCCCATGCCATAGAACTGCCTGTACTTATTTTTTTTGTTTTAAACTTTAGAACGTACCTTGTCTTTGTGACATTAACCTTTTGTTCAAGTTCTTTATGTTGTAGATCCTGGTCATCTTCGATTCGAAGGATAACTACTATCATTTACTATTACTACTACTATTTGTTTCATTGCTATTTCCAATTTCCAAGTAAAAAGTGTTCATAATTTATAAATCCATTTATAATGTTGTTTTTTTTTGTTGTAATTAATAATTTTTTTTCTCTAATATAACTAATAATTACAGACTTACATTTATCCTCGGTCTCTTCGAGGATGTGCACCGTATCACCAATTTCTAATTTCAAACCATTTTCCACATCACCGCTGAAGTTGCATACAGCTAGAAAAAACAAAAGAGGAAGGAATTAGATTAAAATCAGGAAGTACAGGCTTTTTGTTGTTTCAGAATAAAATTTTTCCACAATTAGTGATTGATGAATTGTCTACAAAAATTTAACTGTATTGATATTTTTAGTTTCAGATACAATAGGGTGATTTTTCCAGATTTTCTAGACCCTGTATAATTTTACTAGTATTTACCATCGGCCAACATTTCAATGAGTAGATGGAAAACACTTATTACTCTGGTATGGAAAAAAATAAGATTGGTAAAAAGACAAATATAATGACATTCAAACAAAATTGATAAAGAAAAAATAAAAGCAAAGAACATCATAATCTTCATTTTTTTCTGCCTTCTAGAAGTTTGTGAAGAGTATTTCCCTCATCTTTCTCTATTACACAAATCACACAAAATAAAATATTATATTATTATGCCACAGAGTAAATAAAAGCTGCTAAATATCTTTGTGATGTCTTTTTCTTACAGAGAGTATAGGTATACGCATTCACGTACAGTAAATGCAATTTAGAAGGATACATGACCAAAAAACCGGGCGGATTTAGGGGAGCTGAACCGACCTAGGGGCCCCTTTCAGAAAGTTTAAAAAACAGAAATTATTGATCGCCCAAAACACCTGAGATTATTTCCGGACGTCTAGAAAACAAAAATGTTTGAGGGCGTGCTTCCGAGACCTCAGTTTTGTCTCTTGATCGCCCCTCCCCCTACCCCACCCAACTTTTGGACATCTCTGGATCCACATCTGAAAAAGCTAGCAAGAAATGCATGCAACTCATTTGAATCAGGTTTTGAAGTGCTCTGTATTTCCTGTCATTTTCTTGTTCTTTTTCTTCCTTGAGGGCACTTCCCTTCTCTTTTCCCTTCAACTGTTTCTATAAAAAAGTTCTATTCATCACATTCCATCTGACCATCCCTTTTATTTAATCCTTCTTACTACATTTATACAGTTCTCTTCTCTTTTACTATAATAATAAACTACAGGGAAACTACTAGACTAAAACCAGAATTATCGACTGATTGGACAACAAAAGATCTGTTCAATAAATAGATACTAAAGGTAGGTGGGTAAATTTGGATAAATAGGTTTATATTTAAACAGTACCTTTTCAAATTGAATTTAAGTGAAAGATACACAGTGGTGATTATTTTTATTGGCTAAACAAATGGTTATTTTTAGAATATAATATCATAAGATTGGAATGCTATTAAAATCGGAAATGATTCTAATAGGTCTACATATAATCTGCCGAGTTAACAAGGCCAGCAACAAATGTGCTGGCTGTATATTCATAATACCTAATCAATTACATGCTAATTAACAACAATTACCTAAGATCATTCTATAACTCACTGCTTCTGAATGCATGTTCGCTAGTTGGTGCGTAACATGTAATTTATGCAAGAGTCAATTCTTTTACAGGAGTAACATACAGAACTGTATGGCGCGACATTTTTTACACCTTGTTCAGCGAACCAGCCACCCACCGATAATGATTTCAAATTTTTAAAAATTTTATTTTTGGCCAATTAACGCACCTTCCACCACTGAAAATAGAAATTTAAAAAAAAATAAATAAAAGTTTTCCTTATATTTATATTATGCCTGTCGCTGCTTGAAATCTCTAAAAATATAATATACATATTTCTTCCTAATTATACATATTTAAAAGAATTTAACCAGCCAATTACTACACTGTTTGCATTCCCCAATAAAATTATATTTTTATTTTCTTCTCCATCTGGCTGTTCTTGGCAAAACTCTTTGCTAAATGAAAAATGCAATTTTTTTTTTCAGCCCTCCTCTGATAAAAAAAAAGATTTTAAAAAATAAATTTGCGTAAAAGGTATAAAGAGTCTCGCCTAAGTTACAGTATTCTATTACGGAATGTAGCAAAAAAGAAAAGGCCTCCACAATATTTTCAGCCATGTTTCGCAGCCAAAAATGATCAATACCTTTGCTTTAAAAGTTTTATGTCAATTTATTTGTTGATAATTTTTCCTTTGTTGGCCAGTTTAAGATATTAAAAAGATTTCATAAATGCCATCCCATAATTAATTCATCTTCTCTAACAGTTAAATCTTTTTGTGTAACATACTGCAAAGAATGATAGTGAACCTTAAGATAAAGTAATTCACACTATTTTACGTACTGTACTACATTTTTAGTTTCGAAAAAAATATTTTAATTGAGGAAGCTTACTGTACTTTCAATGAGTTATATTAATATATTGCTTTTCTGATATTGGTCAAGTCTTATATTAATTGTATACCTATTGGAACTACAAATTGGCAGAACAAATAAAAGAGTGAAAATGAAAGTATTAAAGAATATTTGCTGATTAAACATGAGGATATACTGTAGTGTATCAATGATGGAATACTATGTAATTTGTGCAATATACTCCACTGTATGTAGGGTACGATCATGTTTTATACCTCCATTGTACGATGCTATTCATAGGCTATGTTCTCACACGACTGCTAACGGTTAGCAGGATCCAGATCCTGCTAACCGTTAGCTGCCGTGCATCCATACGAGGAAATTCCGATCCGGATACCAAAAATATGATGATCGTGTAACTGGGCAATAAGAAACTGGAAATTGTAAACGTGTACGTGTGATTGGTTGATGATAGAAATGTGCTCACTTGCTAACCGATAGCGCTTGCTAACCGTTAGCGGTATCCGGATACTGCTAACGGTTAGCGGTGACTGATCGGGCGTTCTCACGCAGGTGCTAACGGTTAGCGCTAACGGTTAGCTCCCGATCCGGATACTAGGGCTCTTGTGAGAACCAGGCTATAGTCAACTAAAAAAAACTCTTTAGTCATTAGCCGAGCACTTACTGCATCGTACGAAAAATTCAACTTCGCTCTCTGTGACTCCGTCTATCGATTGTCGGTGGCAGCCTGAACGGATCATCATCAAAGTCGTCTCATTCCGTCCTTCATAGGATCACGCCAGCCGAAGATCGCCGGGAGAAGCGAGTGTCCATCTTAAGGTGTACCAGAAGTTTGTTACAGATCGTAGAAATTTTGCAGACACTTTTACCAAGAACTAATTCTCTAACTCGAGATATTTCCTACAGAATTTATGCTTGTTTTATGCAATATGTTTGATCATACAAATCCCATCTTCCCATGTCAGTTATATTAAGTTCCCCAATGCTCTTCTGCATCAGACAACGAAAATATTATCAGGTATTTCAACTCCTATAACTCCTCCTAATACTATTGGAAGTCTTGAAAAATGTTATGGAAGCTTCAGGACTCCAGAATTTTCTCAAACTCTCCCAAACAAGCTTTTACCTAAACAGTTTAGTCCTAAACAAACTGTTATTCAAACCTCACAATATCTTTAAAAATGCATGCGAAAAATGGAACAGATTTTCAAACAAATGTTTAGGGTGGGGGCACTCCTCAACAGCCATCCTCCTGTCTTCTGAGTTTTAAGTCTGACAGACAGGGATTAAGTATAATTTGCAGTATATTGATATACTGTATACTGTGAGTTACCAGTCCTTTATTACTTAGCTAGCAGGAATTGCATCATACAAGTATCTACAGATGAGTTAATACAAAAGCACTAGTCTAGGATGGATAACCCTGGGGAATAACACAGCTTAAGGAAGGCATCTTGGTTGTTTAACGATCCTAGGTTGTTGATACTCAAATCACTTCCTATCTGACTCAATGAAACGGGTACAGCTTGAGTGACCAATGGAACAGATGCTATTAGCGATCATGATCAATATATATTGGCTGATTTTATTTATAATGACGAGGCTAACCGAGGCATCACTATAGAGTCGGCAATATGGAATGAGTCATCAGTAGAATTTATTATCTACTAAATGCCGACTTCACCAGCGTACGTCTCAATAAATATTCAAATCTAATCATTACATGTGTCCTATAGAGCACACTAGGTCTACTATATCTATGATTCCTGGCAGTTAATTACTGTATCATCATTAATGTGTTAATTGCATACAATTTATATTCATAATTTTTATTTTATCCATAAAATAAAATTTTATTCAAAACAATTACTTTAATTTTACAATAAAATATTATCTACTGTACCCTTGTAGATATTGACCACTTTCTATCTCATGTTCCTGTAATCTTCTATTTATGAGCTTAAATACAACTGTCTGTAAAATGAGGCAAAATTTATCATCCCACACCAGTATTATTAACATAATATTCTCGATCCAGCTGTCTACTCATGCAATTAAATTCAGTACTTCTCAATGACATCCAATCAATACAATATTTTTAATGTACAATGGAACAGTACACTAAAGAAAACAAAATGCGACAATATACCAGAGTCGGATGTAAAACATGGAATGTCCCAAATCTAGTAAAAATTAGGGTATTAATTAGTAGACTGTAAGTGGTGGACCCAGGATTTAAGAATGGGGTTGTCTACTGCAGGTTGTGTTACTACTATAGTAAAAGGTTATTTGTTTAGCCAGGGTTTGAAGCCCTTCTCAGAAAAGTATTGTTTAGTTGCCGGGAAATGCACTTTCATGCATTCTATTAAGGGGCTTGTTTTAATGATGTTAAATTCCTTCCAATTTCAGGAATCCTGTAAGAATTATATAATTGTTTACATATTGTAGGCAGCGAGTATAGAGCCTAAATTTGAGAAGCCAGTCCATGGCTGGGGCAAAGTAGATGACATGTCCCTACTTTCATCATTTGTTTTGATTATTTAGTAAAAATTAGGCCATTATACACTCTTTCAAGCTATCTTGACTTAAAGTTATATTACTTTATACCTGTATTTGGTCAGAGGACTTGCCCTACAGTATAGACCGAGGAATTTTTTTGGGAAGTCTAGGGAGGGGAAGTGGCTAGCCACCATATTAACCCCCATCAATTCATCTGCCCACACATAAGTTCACATAATAATCAGTACCCATTCAGCATTTGTTGGTTCTCTGCAACAATGCTAACAATAGGGCACAC